GTCTTCATGATCAGAGACGCGAGGAGGAGGGAAACGTTGAGCCCTCCACAGGTTGAGGCGAGTACTTGAAGAGGAGGAGCAGGAGGCCAGAGGAGTTGACGCGTCTTGCAGGTTGTGACGAGCGGGAAGGGTCGAGGTAGTCGAGAGAGGAGGAGGAGGAGGAGGAGGAGGAGGAGGAGGAGGAGGAGGAGAGTTTGATTTACATCCAGATATTCCTCCTGACTCTCAAGCTGATGCTGAGCAGTCAACTGATGCTAAGAAGAGGTTCTGTCTACAACTCCCTCGCCTCCTCCTCACTCACCTTGCCTCAAGGAGTCGGATAAAAGGATTGAGCAAATCGTTGAAGAACCGAGCTGGAAGATGACGAGGCGAGTAGAGGGAATCAGAGAGGAGGAGAGGAGGAGATGAGAGGAGATGGTAGGAGATTCACTGGCTTACTTGATAGTACAGACGTGTGAAAACGTTCACATTCTCCTCCACCTCTTAGATCGCGACCTCCTCATACGTTACATGCTTGGATGACGCGGACGGACCGGAGGAGATGTACTTCTCTATCCCCTTCCTCTCGTCCTCCACCCGCGACCGCGCGCGATCGACCCGCATGTTGAGCTGCTTCCTTCCGATGTGAGCTGCAAACCAAATCGTCAGCGGTACTGCCCTCCCTCCCTCCCTCCCTCCCTCCCTCCTTCCCCTAGCTCCCTCCCTCCCTCCCTCCCTCCCTCCCTCCTTCCCCTAGCTCCCTCCCTCCCTTGCTCTCTCCGTCTCTCCGTCCCTCGCTCGCTCGCTCCCTTCGCCTCGTCTCTCATGGCATCACTCACTGTGAGTTGCTCGGACGCTGGTGCCGATGGCAGACATGAGGTGACCGCTGCTGGGCCCGTGACTGACAACTGAGTGAGCCAAGCAGAGGACAGAGGGGAGGAGGAAGGCAGAGAGAAGAGATGATGATGTAGAGCAGGAGGAGAGGAGGAGGAGACCTGTACACGGAAGAGAGGTCTTTGATGTAGGTGATTTTGGACGGGTCAATCTCCTGCTTCTTCAGCTCAGCCGCGAGCTCCTTCTTGTCCGCCTCCGTCAAGTGAGCTCCCGTGAGGTCCAGCACCTCAAGCTCCTTCGCCTCCTTGAGCAGCGTCACGATCACTCCCACCAGCTCGCGCTCCCAGCGCAGGTCGTTGTCTCCGAGGTTGAGGCGCACGAGGCGGCGGATGTGGCCGGAGCGCTGGAGGTCGAGGACCAGCTGCTTGAGCTGCTTGTTGCTGATCTTGCTGTTCTCCGCGTCCACCAGCAGGGGCCCCAGCTGCTTGCACTGATCGAAGATGATCTGGGGGAGGTCGGGGAGGGGCGATGAGCCTCCACCAGCACCGGCAGCTGCAAGTTCGTCCAGCCGTTCTCGTCCGGCTCGATGGTGCAGGGGTCCGGACGCTCGTCTGCCCTCCCCACGAGCTGCGGCTGCGGGTAGATTACGATGGTCTTCTTCATCTGCTCGATCCTCCTGCTCCCGCCGTCAGCGAGCACAAGCGACCGAGAGGCAGGACAAGGAGGAGGAGGAAGTAGCGGGAGGCAGGAGAGAATGATGATGATGATGATGATGATGATGATGATGATGATGGGGAGGAGGAGGAGGAGGAGGAGGAGGAGGAGGAGGAGGAGGAGGAGGAGGAGGAGGAGGAGGAGGAGGAGGAGGAGGGAGGAGGGAGGGA